TTTTTTTTTTTTACATCAAAACTATTTTTCTCCTTCATCTTTCTTTATGCTTACAATCTGTTAGAACAATTGAGTTCAAAAACTGTTGAAAAGTTCAAAAAGACAAAGCAAAAAAAAAAAAAAAATTAGTATTTCTTGTTTCACCTCATCTCTCCTCTTTTCTTCTCTTTCAATTCTTCAAGCTTTTTCTTTCTTACTATACTAACACTTACAAAAAGATATCTGAAACCGACAAGCATAACAGCAGCACCTTCACCACCAATAACAACAGTAAAAGCAATCACTTACTTATTGTTGTTTGCCATTTCCAACAGTACCTTTTGTTGGACGCTCGAAGAACCATTGATAATTTGTTTAATAGGAAGGACAACAAGATGCTGAGGAAACAAGACAGTTATAATTATAAAGCAGAAAAAAAAGAATACAGGAAGATGATAACGATGATGATGATGATGATGGTGATGATGATCTGAAGAAGAATGCTGAAAAAGAAGACGAATGAAGAAGAAGATGATGAGCAACAACAACAACAACAACAAAAAGGACGATGATTAGAGGAAACAGAAGGTGAACAAGAAAAGAAAGAAGAGAAAGAAGCATTATAATGCTTCTTATTTTCCTTCTTTTCTTCTTCCTTCTCTTTTTCTTTTTCTTATTCTTCTAATCTTTTTCTTCCCCTTACCCCACCCCTCCCCTTCCACTACTCCATCCCTTGTCTTTCAATATAATAATAATTTAAACATTGTCAGGTCGAAGAAGATGATGAAAAAATTGCCAACACAGCGTGGAACTTATTAGTTGTTGCAGTTAAAAAACCTTCTGAAACAACACACCGTCAGCAACGGCATCATCGTCGTCGTCATCGTCATCGTCATCGTCATCGTCATCGTCATCGTTCGTCATCATCATCATCATCATCATCATCATCATCATCACCATCATCATCATTATCGCCGTCGCTGTCGTCATCATTACCAACATCATATTATATTGGAAGGGGTTTAGCACCATCGATTTTGATCAATAAACTAACTATTCAGTTTAGAATGTACAAATACATATA